ATATTTGTAGCAATAGCCAAAAAAAACATTGTATGGGTCAAAATTATAAATTTTTCTTTTATGCCAAAAATCATTAGGATATTAAGTAAAGATCATGTTCCATGAAGATATTTTGTAAATTTCCTACTGTAAATATATCAAAACTTAATTGTTGATTAGTAACATGCATTGCTAAGAACTTAATTTGGACAACTTTAAAGGCTATTTTCTCAGTATTTTGATTTTTTTTTGCACCCTCAGATTCCAGATTTCCAAATAGTTGTATCTCGGCCAAATATTGTCCTATCCTAACAAACCATACATCAATGGAAAGCTTATTTATACAGCTTTCAGATTATGTATTAATCTCAATTTTGAAAAATTGACACTTAAGACTGGTTTTGTGGTCCAGGGTCACATATAAAAGCCTCTTGTGAATGAAATGATTTATTTCATGTGCTCCCTTTTGATATCTTGATTTACCCTAGAATTGGTTATTATTAAAGTAGCATTAAGTTGATTCTGAACTTCATTACGTGCAAGAAGTGTTATTTTAGCATCAATGAGATCCTATTATAGTTTTTATTATTTAGTTTTACTATTTTGAATTTGCTTTTCTTTTAATATTTTCAGTGTTTACTTTAAATTCAATTAAAGTTTTAGTAATTTTGCTGTGTGTCATTTTTATTGGTATTAGTTTTTTTAAATATATTTTATTTATATTTCAGTTTTTTAGTACATAAAGTTAAATAAAATAAAAAATTAGAAATGTTTCCTTTTTTATTTTTATTTTGTTTCAGTTAACATACTGTATATTTTATGCACATCAAAAAAGTTTTTTTAAGGTTTTAGTTTTGCTTAATTACAATGACCCTGGTAAGCACTCTCTATGGGTACAACACGGTTAAACAAAATAAAGCCCAGCATAAAGTTTGACAGTTTGACACCTTTGCACTAAAATATACACTGACAAACAGTCACATGTGACAACTGTATTGACACCAAGTATCGATCCTTATTGGCAACTGTACTGGTAGTCCTGTTAGCTACAGGGCTTGAGACTGAGCCTATCCATGTATCATCATAATCATAATAACCAGAGGGTTGAAATTAAAAAAGCAAACAATACATAATACAATTTGTTTTATATATATATATATATATATATATATATATATACTGTATATGTTGTATTGTCGTTTGTGAGAACCGCATATTGAAACAAGACACTGAAACAAAATTTCCCCAAGGGGATAAATAAAGTTACTACTACTAATCCAGGCAGACTAATTAATGATGAGTGTCAAATGTGCAGTGATAGACCTGGTGATCACATGGAGATGTCTGAGCTCCTTTTATACTCTTTATGAGACACTGATCAATCTTGTGCCAAATAGCTTGTCATTTTATATTTTGTACTGTTCTTCAAGGTATGGAAATCAAGAATTCATGTCACCAAGGTTAATAGCTCAAAAACGGATCACTGAGGAGTCCAATCCAGCATGCAAGATGATAAAATGAAAATTTAAATTTGTATTTATTTATATTAGTATAGAATATTTATGCAATACAGAAGGATACAGCAAGATAAACTCTGGAACTAACATTTTTTGCATGTTACTGCATGTTATTTTAAAGTCATAGAACCTTTCTTTTAATTGCACACAACATTCAGCACTTAAGTGAACAATCTGTCCCTGGACAACTTTAAGTTTGAGTCTCTCGTGGTAATAAACAGTGCTCACATCTTCATACTGCATGCCTTTTAGACATAATACTGATTGGATGATGAAGTTTGACTGAGAAGTCTGTAATCAAAATTCAGTTTCTTTTTTTAGATCAAACCTTGTGTTCAGGTTTGACTAGATGTAAAATAAAGCAGTCATAGTTAGTGGTTATCAATTGCATCTATAGGCCCCATATGACATATGTGACCCTGGACCACAAAACCAGTCTTAAGTCGCTGGGGTATATTTGTAGCAATAGCCAAAAATACATTGTATGGGTCAAAATTATAGATTTTTCTTTTATGCCAAAAATCATTAGGATATTAAGTAAAGATGTTCCATGAAGATACTTTGTAAATTTCCTACC